GGGGGGGGGGGGGGGGGGGGGGGGGGGGGGGGGGGGAAGGGGGGGGGGAGGGAGGCCTTTGATCTATGGCAGAACAGAGAGCAAGAAAGCACCCAGAAGATGAATAGGAGCTTCTCAGAATGGGAGAGAATGACACTAGGGCTGGTGGGGCTGGATCGCGGCTGAGGCGTTACCGGCGCCCCTGAAGGGCCGGTCCTGCTCTCCTTGGGATAATCCCTGATACATTAACATCAAGCCATCTTCAGAACCAGCAGCTGGATCGAGCATCTTGACAGCATGGAGCAAATACGATTCTACCTAATGACTCTCTCTCTGGTCCTGCTCGTTAATGGACACCGGGCGGCATTTCATTCATCCGCTTTGCCTGACTTTCATCCTTTGATCATTATTAGTCTGTTTGTCAGCGCACCAGGTCCCATTCGCCCACATGCTAACTTTCACATCTCAGGGGTGCAAATAAACCTGGAATATTACCACAGAAAGATGTATCCACAATGGAAGAGTAACTGTTCCTCTAGAAATAGTTTTAAAGTTATTTTTTTCAGAGAGACAAAAAATGTGTAAATAAGTGAAATGTGGAGTTTGTCCTGGCTGTTAAAGAGTGATTAAAGCAGTATAATGGTGCAGGTCAGCTTCGTCTTCGGTGGGTCCTGATGACATGATTGGCCAGATTTCAAAGTCTCTTGTGATGTCAATGGATCGGCTCATTTCACACTCGGCTAGGTACCCGCGCAGCTCGAGAGTGACACGACCTTACCCTGGAAGAGTGCGGCGTTCTGTATAATGAGCAGCTTCAGCTGGGAGCTGGACGCCCTAAGGCTGGACTCCAGTCTTTGCCGGGCGGCCACTTGGTATTGTTCCTCCATCTTCCTTGAACAGCAGGTCAGGCCTCTGGTGTGACACACTTGCAATTCAGCACCTGTCCAATAGTGGGAGCAAGAAAGCAAGAGTTATGGATACCAGGTGCTTTGAATGTTGGGCTAATGGGAGTTTTACTTATACAAAAATGTTCTGATGGTGAAAATGATTGGTTCAAATAGATCAATCAATCAGATCTCGGTCAGATGTCAGACCAACCAGTCAGATGTCTAGGTCTCGCCACCTCTAAATGCTTAGACCCGCCTCCTCTAAAGTCTGATTCGTAATCTATCAGAACCAATCATTTTTTTATTCTGCCCTCAGATCATTTTTGTGCAAGCAAAACTCCCATGAGCGAATGCTGGACATTGTATTGGTGACTTAACAGAGATAGCGAAAAATACCAGTCAGTCAAGCATCTTTCTCCATTTCACAGCTGCTGTCAAACCCGTCTGAATCACTGCAACATGGTACCAATCAACGGCATATCAAACGAAGCAACTGGGTCAGGGTTTCCACTAGAAGATCACCAATAACAGCTACTCTATGCAGGAAATGCCTCGGTCCTTTGGACCCATCGCGCCAAACTGCAGCTTGTCGCTAGAGGAATGTCCACATACTGATGAAAGAGAACATACTTCAAAGGTGGTGGAGTGTGGGAGCCAGCAGGGTTTAGCAAAGTGCTCCAGAACACTATTCCTCCAGCTAATCCCACCCAGGCTACAGTACATTCTCTATTGAGTGTGACCAAGGCAGCGTCTGGGCAGTGAATGGTCAGGCACCGCGGGCGGCTGCTCACCCCATAGGCTGAAATCCTGCCGCTCGCACAGAGAGATCGCACTCTGTGTGCCGTAAAGTACACCGCTAATGCATCTGCTCCCCCTGCAACTGCCTGCCGATTACGTAATTGCTTAAAATGTATCTGCTGACATTCTAGCAGCACGCTACACTGTTTTCAGCTCACATCCCCATACATCGAAAACTAATTTACAAGCTAAATTACACTGTCTCTCGCGCGGGATCATCAGCCGATCACAGTGGCTATATTTCATTGGCCTGTACAGAGTCTCCTTTCACAGTAAAGCCAGAGGATCGACGTCCTGAGTGGTGCATCTGAAAAAGGTTCTCAGACAGCAACAATCCAACAGTGCTAAACATTATTAGCATGTAACAGCTAACCCGCTCATCTAAGATGCAACCTTGCGACATCTGATTCTGATAAATCATTATTATTGAAGGTAATTATTATAGAGCTATTATTAAATCTACATGTTTGATTTACTGATTTTATGTCCTCTAACTCAGTTACAGAATTCAGAAATAAGTACAATCACAAATATTTACTTCAGACCAAATGAGACATGTAAGGGGTGCGTAAAACACTCCAAGCATCACCGTGAAAGACACACATTTCACAAAGGATCTTTAAAGTCACATAAGGCAAGTGTTAGCTTAATGAGCTTAATTCAATTTAAAACAGCACCACCAGAGAGCACTATTATGTTATCATGGTATTACATTACTAAAACTGTCACAAAAATGAATGTGCATGTGTGATTAGCACAGCATCCATAGCCACACTTTGGGATGTGGGCAGGCATGTTATTGGGGAAGATTTCAGGAGACTTTGACTACAGATTTTTTTATGTCAAACAAACTGCATATAAATAGACATCACAAAAGCTTGTGTAATTCCTAATCTGTTTTATTAGCAAAAGCACTCTGTTTCCTAGACAAATATCGGCTACAGGCCTATAGTGGGCAACCCCACTAAAAAATAACCTGGATCTTCAACGTTCAGGGCAGCTTCTGCAAACATCTGGCACGGTGAGTGTGTGAAGCTGGCCTTTAAGGTGAAGCCATTCACAGGCAGACCCACCCAGGGCAGACTGGCAGGAGAGAGTGCAAAGTGAGACTGGGGGAGGATGCCGTGACGGCCAGATGGCAGAGCAATACACAGGCACAGCCATTAAGGACACTGCCCATCACTAAATACCCAGCTTTGCAAATGGGCAGACCTGTAACTGTAATGCAGGCAGACTTATAACTGTAAACAGACCTGTAACTGTAGGCAGACCTGTAACTGTAACTGCAGGCAGACCTCTAACAGTTTCATAGGCAGACCTATAACTGTAGGCAGACCTGTAACTGTAACTGNCAGACCTCTAACAGTTTCATAGGCAGACCTATAACTGTAGGCAGACCTGTAACTGTAACTGCAGGCAGACCTCTAACAGTTTCATAGGCAGACCTGTAACTGTAATGCAGGCAGACCTCTAACAGTTTCATAGGCAGACCTGTAACTGTAATGCAGGCAGACTTGTAACTGTAAACAGACCTTTCAGTAACTGCAAGTGAAGGCAGACCTATAACTTTATTAAACGGTAAGTAGACCAGTAACTGTAACTGTAGACAGACCTGTAACTGTACTGTAGGCAGACTTGTAACTGTAAACAGACCTGTAACTGTAGGCAGACCTGTAACTGTAACTGCAGGCAGACCTGTTAGAAATTGTAGGTAGGCCTGTTAAAAACTGTAAGCAGACCTGTAACTGTAGACAGACCTGTAAGCAGCAAATAGCAGCTTCCAGTGTTCGAATGAATAAGCAGTGAGACTCACAGAACCATACTTACAGCACCGTTAGCGCCTCTGCTACATGAAAGGCAGAGATCCCAGAGACAATCTGAAGCCAAACCACACACCTGCTACTCCAGCACACACTCGAATGCTGCCTGCGAAGCCGATATCAGTATTCAATTCCAGAGCACACAATAAAAACCAATTTTGCATGCAAACAGAAGGATCGATACCTGCAAGGAAGGCTTGACAAGTGAAAATCATCAACGGGGCCTGACAGGCAGCTGTAAATGACGATGTTTTTTGCAAAGTGAAGGACAGTGCAGCAGCCTAACATGGAAATAAGAACCCAGGGAGTTTACACCATGATCTTTAGCCCTATCGACAAACCGCATGCCTGTCTGCAACAAATCAGGCATTTTCAGTACATTAGGACCAGTGGTAAACACGCTCAGCCCATTATTACTGGTTGAAACTGGTTGCATCATATTTTCAACATTACATCCTCCCATATCGAGTCTAATTTTTCCCTTTGCTGGCATAATATCTAAACCATTTAAACAAAGAACAATGAGCACAAATACGAATCCTGAAGATTATGGAACAGACTCCAATAAAAGACGCTAAGTCTTTAAAGTTTCTGAAAATGCCCCAAAGGCAGTGGCATCAGCACTCTCTGGCCAGCTTTCTGTGGGTCTGGGGGATGATCGCCTCCCCCCCATTATTATTTCTGAATAAGAGGGAGGTCCCAGCATATGGGGGGGGGGGGTCCTGGTAGATTGTCCTAATGAAGTAGCAACCTTCACAACGGGGCAGCATGGAAAATGGACAAACAAGTGCTCTTCTAAGCTGGCAAGGTGGATCACATTAAGGAAATAGGAATTAACTGTGCACACACGCCCAGCGTTATAAATTAATGAAGTGTATATGTGTAAATGATTCATTTTATGACAACATCTGCTGAGCTGTAAATGACACCAGCTATGTCAATTAAACAGTCTATAGGTTTCTTCCATAAGAGTCATTCCAGTTCAAAAACCTTAGCGGACGTTTGCAATTAAACTGCACTTTAATGCCTTTGAATGCAATTATAATGCAGGTGCAAGTGATTCCAGTTAAAAAGTCCTGTAACGGTTGAGAAATCAACCATCAGAACCGACTGTCAAACCCAAGACATTACACTGAACCCTGGCCATTTGGCACGTTGTTAAGCCAGTGTGCTCTTGTTCCAGAAGATTCTCCCTCCTCTAATTTTCAGCCTGGCCTGCAGGTTCAGTGGCGTGTCAAATCCTGCAGCCCTCCCACATCTGCCAGCGACTGAGAGCCCTCGTGATATCGGCCGTGCCAAGGGCCCACCGGACTCTACACACTGCGCAACACATGGGGGGATTGGACCAGACCTCCACCTCACAACTTGTCATATTCAGTTTTCTTTCCCTCTCTAGTGTTTAATCTGGCCTCTTTTGAATTCCCAGATGAAGATTTCAAACTGTACACGTCCTGGAAAAGCCACAGTGAATTTGTCTTACCGTGGGCTGACTGACAGTGAGATCATATACCAGAGTGAAGACATTCCTATTTAATGCATTCTTGTAAATCTAAACAATTGAGTTTCTGCTTAGAGATGTTCTGTAACCTTGTACCCTCGCGGATCAATGCTCAGTGGTCGGTTTATTAGGTAAATCCGCTCATTAGCACTAACAGGCTGCCCCTCCTAACGGTGTGGCAAAAACTCCATACATGCAGCACGCAAGCAGGGTCAGCAGGTTCAGTCACTGAACACACAACTCGTCTGCACTCAAAGTGGCTCTGAAGATATAACGGCGTCCTACCAATCACTGTGTAGGTGTTCGTCGTAAGGTGAGCACTGAGTCTAATTATTTGTTCTTGACACAAGACAGCAATCATTACGTTAGCTCCCGGCGATTGTTATATTCGTTTATTAAGCTACAAGCTGACCCTCTGGTGAAGCACGCTGACTTCAGGTTCGATTTGTAGAGAAACACTCCATTGTAAGGATCTGTAGGTCATCATCCGTTTGTTAATGTTACCGATCTTACTGTCTGCTAATTGGTTGTAGAATCGTGGTCAGTGGAGCGGAGACTCCGCGTCTCGCCGACATCCAGCTCCCGGGCTTTGGCTGCAAATGCCAGTTGTTTCATACTCGGTTCAAGAGTAGCATGAAACAGCAGCTCTGGGGGGGGGGGCTGCCTAATGAAGCCGTTTGCTGCCGGATACGCCGGCGATAAACAGTTGTGTTCTTTAAGAAATAATAACGATAACGTGAAAAATTCCTTCATCCCCGCTTGGGTTCTAATCAAATCATCAGGTCCGCTCCAGCCTGAAAGCCTTTCGAGAAGCGCAATAAAGATCGTCCTCATGTTTGTGAATCTCTTCAAGTGCGGAGCCCCGGCCGTCAACCCCGTGTTGCTTCTGCAATGAAACATCCTGCTGCGTCCCTTTAAGTGTCCAACGGTGGCTATTGCATTAAAAGGATCACAAACTCGCAAACCGTCTCCACCCGATAATGTGCCGCGGTCGCTAATGTGCTTTTGCAAATCACCGGCTGGGATTTAAAAATAATTTCATTCTACGAGAAACTCTAATCTGCCTTAAAACTGAGCCGAATTCGTCAGCCTAATCTCATCAACAGTAAAATTGCTGGATGAGAAACAAGTCAAACTTTTACGCAACCTTGCGCGACGCCGACGATGCCTGCTGAGAAATGTCATGCCACCTTGTCCCCCGTAGCCCCTTAACATCTGCACCGCATTTTGGGAGCCAAAGCGGAGCTATTTCGGGGTATAGAGCACCTATCATATAACGAGACAAGCCGAAAGGTTTTAATAACTGATACCAGGAACATTACGGAGAACGGAATTCAATTCTGGGGCTACTGAACGAAGAGATGGGGACACGGACAGAAGATCGGGAAGACTTGAAGGCGATTAATATGTGAGAAAGGGAATGTGAATGAAAGAGCAAGCTTATGAAGTATCAGGGAGGACAATTAGACAGCTATCTTGTAACGCCAGTATTCAATCCGCTTACACCACTGCAGTTCCAGTAGCGCCGTTGGCAGGGCTTGACGCTGCCATCACGGCCCGTTTTGCCACTAAAAACTAACAGCTGAACGCAGCTGGAAGCCCACAGTCCCCCCGGGGATCCGACACATTCACATGGCATTTTACCGTCAGCCATTAAACATCAGCAAATGTTCACAATTAGAATGGCAGCTCTGAACGGGGCTGTGGGGCAGCCTGACCTGCGTGTCACTCATAACGACACAAAAACAGCCAATTAACATTTCCAGCTCAATGCCCCTGAGGCGCAGTAAATACTGTCAATTTGCGTAATAAATACATTACTCATGCAACAGGTCGAGCTCTCACTTTGGGGATCGGAGCCCCCCCATAGCGACGTGGTGTCACGGTTCCCATTTACTGGGGAAAACGTCTGCAAATGAACTTCACACGCCGAGAGGCAGCGCGATGCTCCGCCCTGCTCAGTCCTTTGAGTCACTGTGCGAATCACCAGAGCCCTTTCTTTTCGCCGTTTGATGGACAATAGACCAGGGATAATGTTTAATTTGAAAAGTTAACGTCTAGTCATAAATGAAATGGTCCATTACGGTATTATTATATTAATATTATTACGGCAGGCCCGTGCATAAAACGCACTTAAAGGTGCCTTCCGGGTAATAAGAACCACTTCTGAGAATTTAAGGCTTCAGAGACAGCCCTTTATAAAAGAAACTTGTATTGTATCCTCCACTGCTGTTGAGAATAATAAAATATGCGTAAAATGGGGATGGTTAATTCTATGAGGAAGATATTTTACAGCGTAACCGTGATATTATTATTTATGAGTCAGACGGTGTGTGTATGAAAATATTCTCCGGGGGTGGGGGGTTAAGGAGTACTTTTTACACCTCTTAAAATGATTTTAGATAAATGTAAGATGTAAGACCATTACTCATTCAGAAGCTCTTTGTTTGGTCTATCTTTGGACCTATAATTTTCTCAGTTCTTTAGTAGATAGAGTTTTGGCCAGTTCATTCTACATGTTAAAAAAACATGTCAGTCCAGATTATCATGGATCACCCTGGGTTTATCCACACACACACACACACACACACACACACACACACACACACAAAGAGAGAGAGAGATGTTTGTATTCATATCTTTGTGGGGACTCTCTATTCATTTCTATGGGCAAAACCCTAATCCCAACATTACGACCTTAACCCCTACACAGCCCTAACCTTAAATTTGCATTCACAGATCTTTGTAGGGACGTAAAAATGGTCCCCACAACGTCAAGAAACAGGTTTTTATTACATTATGGGGAACATTTGGTCCCCACTATGTAATATAAACGTAATCCACCCCCCGCCCACACACACACGCACACCCTGTGTGATTCCCGAAACCAGACACTCCATCTTTCGGAAATGATCCCCCACTATCTGGATGTAGGGACAATTCCATCCAATTCTCTCTCGTTATGGGGTGAGAAACAAAATCCCAGAAACTCGACACGGCACTTACCAGAAGAGAAAATCAAAGGCCATTAGCTATTACTTTAGGCGCATAACTCACTGACGGTTTTGCACAATCGCATTTATCTGCGTTTCACAATTGCCCTTGCTCTCCAAAGACACTAGGCGGTTTTCTGAACGGTATCCTGACAGGGCACTTAAAATGCGCCCTGAGCAAAAAAAAAACATCACAGAATAGGGGTAGGGAGGTGTAGTAATACTTTACAGCCTTCGGATTTCACAAGGGAGAGGTGCTCATTCTATAATAACAGCCCCGCTGCGGGCCGGTGGGGGGCAGCCTGGCGGGGACCTACCCGGGGCCGGGGCGATGTTACGGAACCCTGTGAAACCTGAAGTAGCCTTCTCTGAATGTGAAATTACAAACTGATTTCCACCACGACTCCTTGTGTGTGCGCGTGGAGTTTGCACGTCTGTCCTCCTATGCAGGAAAGTCATTGAATTCGTTAACTGCCCGTAGTGTGTCGGTACATGTGCCAGACTTGCACTTTGTCCAGAGCGTCCCCCTATCGTACGTCCTGTGGTGTCTGGGACATGCTCCCAGGCACCCTCCGTTGGGATTTTTAAAAACGTCCCTGGACTTTGGGGTCCCCCACAGACTCACGGTCAATTTTGGGATCCCCCATGATAAATTTTACCGGCCTACATACAGTACCCATCGGTTCCCCGGGAAAACGCCCGGCATGCCAGATGGGCAGACCAGCCGTGAGCAGAGTTGCCAGGTCCGCGGTCTCCCCGCTCAATTGGGCTATTTTGAAAATACAGTTGCTTGTAAATATTAGGAGGTTGCGGTTTGCGGGCTTTTGAGCAGCTTTCATAATGTCTCATAACTGTAAAGAGGAAAAATAAATGAATAATTATGAATGCGGATAGTAGTATTTGTGGATCCCAATGCTGAATCGCTAGCCAGACAATGTCAGAGACAGACCTACACGGAAAGCAAGGCTGCCAACTCACCCTTCAGGTGTGACACACGCTTTCAGACTCACGCCAGCAATCTTACAGCATATCTATATTATTCCATTATAAACCTAAAGTTAGCCACATAAAAGCGTTAGGGCAGTTTGCAAAACCTACAGACTATTTACAAGGTAATAAAACTGTTACATACATGTGCATGTCTCGAATTTAAAATCTCACTCCAGCCATCTGATCAAAGTTGGTATCCCTGGGAAAGGAGAGTGCGTCCGTCTATGTGACGTCATGGTATTTAACTGTGTTTTTAAAAAGTTGAACATTTGAATGTGATCAGCATGTAAAATGCCGGTTTATTTCTTTAAGATACAGTATACAGGGATTTCAAATATTAGGCTAGCGTCAGCTTCCGTTGCGCGGATTTTAAGCGGAGCTTGGGCTGCAATATTTTTTTTGCTGGACCTGGCCGTGAGCTCTAGGCTCCTCCACAAAATTGACCAGGATCAAAAGTTGGATGCATGTAATGCAGTCTAATGTGATCAGTGAAAGTACAGTCGAATAATGGAAAGCATTCATGTAGCCATGCAGTGAAGTTCAGGTGAATGCCTCCAGATTAATAATGCTGCGTGTTGCCATTAGAAGCTGAAACTAAAATGACCGGTTTTATTTAGTTTTACATTAAGCAAATAAAAGCCTTGAACATTACAGCTATAACATTCATTCATAGCAGCCTAAAAACTTTTGGTATTAAGAGCACGTCAGAAGACTTTAATCACACTTGACACTTACTCCATTACTATGGAGTAATTGTGAAAAATACAGCTACTATTTACATCGCTGAGAAATGTTGCACTGACAGTTATCCGCATCCACCGTAATTTAATAATGTAGAGACATGTAGTGAGGAGGACGCTCACCTGACACGGGGCTCTCCGGAGCCCATTTTCCGCTTGGGTGGAGCAGCTGAAAGGCGGATCGCACCTCCTGGCAGCCCGAAACCGGACCGGCGGTCCGCGCAAGCGGCAGGAAAAGCGCGCTGAACAGAAGCGCACCTGCCATGGCCAACGCCTCTCAATCCGCCGGAGCTGGAGCCGCGATCACGCAGGAATACGCCTGAAATCCGCTTCCGATGAAAGTGTGTGAGAGAAAGTTACTTGAGCGATGCTTCTCTGCGGAGGTCAGCATGGGTGCTGGCTGCCCGTAAATTGCGATGCCGCTCGCAACCATAGTTCGGCTCTGTCCACGCAGAGCGCATCCTTCACACTTCGCAAGCTCAAGCTGACGGAAGGTTGGATGCTAACATAAACTTCCTAGAGTCGCACGTTGAATATGAAGATACTGGCATTCATCACCGCATGGCACGTAACGGGCACTACCAGCCCAGCCCGCCTGCTCGCCCCGCTGCGGACACCAGGCACCTCCTTCCAGGGCTGATCGGGCTTAACGTTCACGGGGCAGAAAATGCGCCGAGCCCTTCGCAGCGCCATCTAGCGTCGAATTGCGGCGAGAGCGATTTCAGTCAAAGGGAATGATGGAAACGTTGGGCTGTCATAATTTAATACAATTACTATGAATGAGTATAACATGCAAAACAATATTCGGGTTTTCTTTATCACGTTCACAAAGGCCTAAAAGCCATTGTCAAGAACGGCAAACGTTTTTCCTTCGCCACGCAGCGAACTTTAACAGTAAGAAAAAAGGTTGATTATCACATCAGAATGAATAAATTAAGCGGGAATTTATGTACTTTCTGTATGAATCAGTACTTCGGTGAATCCAGTGATGGCTTGCTTACCGCAGTTACAGGCGGCAGACTGTAGACGCGGTTTAGTGTAGTTAAAGTATGATAAAAATTGGAAAAATTACCAATTAATCACGCCGGATACTAAATCTTTGTTTGAATAGCAAGGTTAAATGACAGAGTTTTCAAATATGCAGGTGCAAAAATATGCGTTTTATCATTATTAAGACCAATTAGGGCAGTAACTAGTGTGCGGGCATCGATGGCCGGTTGGGCTTCGTTTAAACTGGTAGGCATCCACTGCCCCCTGGTGTTAGCACGACTCATTTTTCGCTTTTACCCAGTAACTGTGGTATACAGACTAATTCGGCCCAGCTCGTGCCTCGTGTCAGCACTTTGCCCGTTCTCTCTCATCTCTTATAGTAATCTTTCACCTTAACAAGTTGGGCATGGTACTGCTTTATGAAACGGGACAATTCGCTTCTGTTCACCGGTTTCCTTTCATCTTAACTCCAAATGCACCAACACGAGAAAACATTTTAAAACATCATTTTGGAAAAAGCGTTTATTTTGCTGAAAAATGACAAATACGTGAGGACAGAAGGCTTCACTTGAACGATCTTGCACATCAGAGATGGATGCCGTGTGATGTTGAGATACCACCCCCCCACCCTCACAAAAGCACTTCAGTCCTGCACGTATCCGTAAACTGCAAACCTGCCGCAGTGCCTGAAGCAGCACATCCCATCATATCCAGGGAAGCTGGTACCAGATCACACTGGTAAAGTTTCTCCCAGTCAGCACAGAACTGCTGCTACACGGGTATTAGTGTTCATTTCCCACACTGAGTTGTGCCATCAAAAGGTATAGGAACAGTGTTGTGAGAAGCCCCCATAAATGGGGCTGGAGTGATACCCCTCCCTTTGGTTACCTCATGGGGGGCGGTATTCCAGGCACCGTGGGTTTTGCTTGGATTTGCACAGCAAGGGATCTCAGGCTGGATGCAAACCTGCAAAACTGACTGTGTCTGGAAGATGGGAAGGCGAGGGGGGGGGGCTCCAGCAGTGCATGAAGGGCGCCTGCCGCAGGGGGGCTGGATGCGGACATGGGGGGCATGGGCTGAGAGAGTGCCGTGCTCATAGGTGGCGGCCGGCCTGCCCACCGGCTCTTCATGTGCATCATCCCCTCATGAGCACAGTTGGTTCTATGGTGTAGTGGTTATCATGTCTGCCTTACACGCAGAAGGTCCTGGGTTCAAGCCCCAGTAGAACCAAGTTTTCTAATACAATTTCCCTATTTAAAATAAAAAATGAGCACAAAAAAAAGCCAGTGCAAATTCCAGAGTAGTAGGTCCTTATCCCTCAATTGCTACAGGGACTGTCTGATCCCACCTACAACTCCATGTCACTTTGGACAATTATGTCTGCTAAGTGTATCAATTGCAACATGCTCCTCGATCTGGACCTGTATAAACAGACTGCACTCAAATGCTTATGTTGGTCCATAGCGGTCGGCTCTTCTTGTACGTCAGGACAGGCTGTGAATGTCTCACGAGTGAGGAGAAATGAGAGCCACTCCTGCTAGAAGGGGCGCCCAGTGCAGTAGACATGACACTGCTCACTAACTGCACTAGATGCACCTTAGCAGGAGGGACGCAAGTCAGCCTCAGCCAGTGAGGACGTCCAACACACTCTGCGCAACTGGTTTTCATACAGTTTAGGAAGTTATTGGCAAACTGTGTTCTGGGCAAAGACCAAATCAACTGGATGAAAGACTTCTGGAAGCTATCGTTCCATATTGAAAACGCACACGCACACATGTCCGCACACCTCGCCAACACAGATGAACATGCATGAACACACGTTTACACTCACCCCTCCAAACACACACAACAATTCTGTATGTTTGTATATCTGGTTTATTTTCTTTATTCTTTATTCTTATTTGTGTTTATGTATTTCTGCATTTCTGCACTGCTTTCAGATGCTGTTGATCCTTTGCCTTTTCTTTCTCTTCCTTTACAGATACAGCAGTTGTTGGCCTGTTATGTGCAACCTACTTTACTCCTATCTTTATTAGCTTATCTCTCTCACTTTCTCCTCCTTTTCTTTTTCTCTCTTTTTTTTATCTCCATCTGTCCCTCCTCTTTGGCCAGCTCAGCCACTGCAATATTTTACATGTGCTAAAAAATAAAATTGATAAATAAAATGAAATGGATCAACATGAGGGGCCTATAGAGAGTTTATAGAGCCCCTCATGGTAAAGCAAACATGTTTTGCACAACAGTGCATTCAGACCATGATTCTGCTTGCTAAAGCTGCCGGACAGGACAAAAAAAAAAACTATATGAATCTCACTAGGGTGGAGAAAGAGGTCCAATGTCATGTCAGGATTTAAACCTACGGTCTTGGTTTATGACGCTTGCACGTCCTCTATATCAAATAAGCTTCCTTTAGTTACTCCAGTTTCCTTCTGCAATCAAAAGACATGCAGTTAAGATAATTTGCATCACCCACCTCATAAAGAGCTCATAGAGCATCACTGTATGGGCCCTGCGATGGATTGCAATCCTGTTCAGGGTGTACCCCAGCTTAGAGGATACAGCTCCCTTCTATCTCTGTCGAGCATAAGCAGTTTAAAGATGGATGTAATAATCTTAACTGCAATATATTAACAGCACTGGTAATGAACCGTTTGCCTTTACAGATGGATGCAAACCACAGATATTATACAATATCAGCAATCAATGAGATCCTCCCAATGGAAACGTTAGCTGAAAACCACAACTCCCACAATGCAACTGCCGCGACCACAAGAGCCCGCGCTCCAGCAGCGATTCCAAGGCCCATGTAAGACACTACTATGGCGCCATGTGCCTTAGTGTAAGTTTGAATGCGTATTGCACATTTACTGTACTAATTAGCCCGTTTATTGAACAATACACTGCACTATCATTTACTTAATAAAACAAAAAAGAACGTGTTTAAACAACATTAAAACCAGCTGATATCTTTGTTTAATTAGCCGAATAGTACGTACATGCCCACGAATATAGAGTAGGCCCTAATCGTGCAATTGCAGTAAACAAACGTTAAACGTTAGGCAGCAAGAAAACACCTGAAAATTAAAACAAACAGTGAAGAAAGTTGGTGTGTGAGTGCCATACAAAGCCCGTAGAAACCACCATTAACTGCTTTCCGTCTTGGCCGAAATTAGACACCAATACCAGTTTGATCATGCAGCTAAAATCGTATGTCTACACATGGGCATCTCTCTCTTTCTGCTCACTAACAAGCATTTAAAAAGAACAGATGAGCTCTGAAATGTCGCATTTCACTTAAGCTGATTTGATGTTCATTTGTCCACTATATACATGCAGAATTCTGTCAACACCTGGTTTCGCTGGAAGGAAACGATTCGTTATTCACCAAGATTATTTGAAGGAAACGAAATGTTACAAAGATCAGAAGACTCCTTAAACACACCTAATTCGCAAACACACACACGACACAGATGGGATACATTGTAACTGTTTTTGAAGCAAGATCACACAGTAAACAACAAAAAAGACTAAGATTATAAGGCTAGTTACCGTTGATAAGGTTCCGAGAAGTCATGGCCATGTGGTAAGGCTCATCAGAGCACTTTCACCCAGGGGCAGCGAGACCCCCACGCAGCCAAGCCGGCGACATTGGAGCCCTATAGGCACGTTAAAGCGGCAGCCTGTATGCGCGCACGTTTACCGCCCACAAAACATTTGCTGGAAACACACTTTAGGAATAATAAGGTGAACTCTCCTCCTGAACATTAAGCTAAGAAAACGACTAAATCAAGCGCTTCTAACAGAGGAAAAGTTGCAACATAAAACATTTATAAAGTAAACTGCCGGGCTGATTCGCTTAACCTGAAACTGTACCTTAATCCATCGAACTTATTCAGAACTGTCTCATATAAACATGAACTTTATTTATTAGACTAAAAGGTTTAAGCTGAAGAAAATGTCATACTGTACCTCATACACGAGACGAAGTCAATAAAACATGAGATTTGTTCAAAATTAGCACAGAGACAAAACACTTTGTCTGCTCTTCTGGTTTAAAAAAAATCAATGAGCGCTGCCGTGCGTGAAATTGCAAATGCAGTTTGGTTTTCTTTCGATACGTGGAGGATTAATTTGACGCGTGGTTATTTTAACATTCCTCTTCCAAAAAGCAATGCTTAAGCGATCAATTGTACGTAGATACTTAAATTTACCACAGACACAAGTCGCCAGCTTACGTCGCGTCCTTTTCCCTCTCAAACCAGAAAAAGAGCCAGAAGGCAAAAGTAACCTTTAACCTCACCGAAGCCTACCCCCCCCCCCCCCCCATCCCACCGCCCCCCGGGCAGACCTGGGCTTGACTGGACATAAATCAAGGACTTTTTTAAACCGTGGAACTTACATTCCCCCCCCCCCTCCCATCCCACCGCGACCTCGGGGTGCCGGGCTGCACGGCATGTCTGTATCTATTAATGCAGCCCGCATGCTGTGATCTGTTATCTATATGTTAGCAGTGATACAAACGTAGCTTCAACGATAAGAAAGTATTTTTGTAGAAATACAGAGGTTATGTACACTCGAGTGAGGCATCAGATGTTTGTTCATCTTCTGGTAATCCCCAACGTAAGATCTAGTCTCTGGTTCCTGCTTTCTTCTTGTTTTGTGTGGGGGCGAACGCCCATCGGTCGTTTTGTCTGTATATGTTTTAAAAAAAATAAAAAAAAAAAAACTATAAAAAAATGTACGCATACCTTCAGCAAAAAGAAGGAAACATATGGCAAGTAGCCTATTAATGCTGCATCCAGTGCGATGGTTGCAGACGGCAGCTTGTTAAATTCAAAGCTATGTTATCCTTTCATATGGAAAATCTAATGTTTTACACGCGCCGTTTAAAATTGGATTGATCCAGTTATTAAAAAAAAAAATGAAGCCTTTGTTTTAGTTAATATTCAACTCTGATTTTACGTGTTATGAATTTTTAGCAGCACTGACTTTGCCAGTTGTATAATTGTTAGAAATTTGTTCTTAAATCATTTCCCACTGAGAAGATTCGAGTTATGGGTTATGTCTCCTGCGCTTAAATTGGTTTTATCTATTAGCCCATCATTTCCAGAAACGTGCTATATATTTTGTTAAACGAAAATTAGAATACTAATTGTTATGTTGTGCGTTTTATTGATCGATGCGCTATGTTAAAAGTAAAAAAAAAGAAAAAGAAATGTGTTTAATGTTAAATATTTTTAGTAATTAATTTAACTTTTATATATGAATATAGTAATTATAGTAACTTTAGAAATTACCCTGTCACATACTGATCTTAAATCAGTTTTTACCGCAGTTAAAGAGACGGAGGTCTTCTTTACGTTTTTATTTGTGGACTGTATATATGATATTAATACAGGTTTTTTTTCGGCGTCCTTTGTTATCTTTCTCTGTGCTGTGTATTTGAGAAGTATCGTCATTGGATAAAGTTAAGAGAATGCGAGTTCAGATTACCATATCTCTGTCCTTCAAACAAAATCAAAGAATCGGATTATATTACAGAGAACCGTGATCCATTTCCTAAAATTAAGCCACACTAAAGTATATTTTTTTACTTCAAAGACACGATTAACTGCGCCGATGTTAGTGTGCATTGTTCTAAAGCACGGGAATAATAGGTATACAATAATTCAAACAAAGCATAACACGTCGTGAACTGATATAAATGCGATAATCTAAACCCTGGGGTACTGGGTGCTGTCAGTGGATACAGCCATCAAGGTTTTATTTCTGTCACACCCCCGCTGTGTGTGTACTCGGTTTCCTGCGGATCCGAACCCCGCAGTCCTTGCCAGTGATCGGGTGTTAGGGGGCCCCCTGGCGGGCGTTCCGAAAACGCACTCCGCGTGGGGCCCGTAATCAAGCCGGGGGCAAGGGCGTAGGCATTTTGGTGGGGAACAAATCAGCCTCCCACGATTTACGCCCCTGGGTGGGGGCCCGATTAAGGAGCTAGCGAGAGAGAGAGATCGCTTCAGATCAACACCAATGAAGAGCAAAAAACGAAAGCACAAAGAAGCAGGACGTGCTGCGCAGGTCTGTGTAGAAAGTTTGCCTAACTTCCAGTAAAATACCTAACCTTACGTCAGCTGGCACTGGGTTGCTATACCTGTTCCAGGTTTTACGGAACGCTCGGGAGTATTTGTTCAGTATTTTATACAACATGAGTGAAAGTATGAAAATAAAGTGTAATACAATCAACAACTACAAGGAAAGGTATTTTCTAAAAATAAATCAGGGACCAAAACGAGCTCTTTCTTAATCTGCTTCGCTTGCCTCACGTTTGTTGCCAACGCAGTTAGTTAATTAGTTTCGGCTATAGTGTGGAAGCGAATGGCATCTGCTTTTAACGCGCCTCCGAGTCCGCCCGTAAAGTTGAGGCATTCACAGCATTATCGGCCCGGATGGGAATGTCTGTATCCATGGCAGGGATTCGTGTCGGTAGTGCGTTTCTGTCGCACATAGCAGTGTATCGTGATGCCAAGCGACAGGCCGCTGGAGATGAGAGCATGAGAAGGAGCATCCACAGCGATGCACAATTTCTCCAGCCTCACGCATCACCCGAAGCGTTGATATATTGAATATACTAATTTGATATATAATAAACATAATTGATGCAGAACTACATACACCCGAAATCTCAGGGGCCAAGTAATAACCATAGCTAATAGGAGAAATATCCATTTAATTTTGTATGGCGTCAAAATAGGTAAGTTTTGGACGTGTGTATCTATTTACTTACATATTTATTATTCAAATAAAAGTTTTGCTAATCAGTACTAATGCAGTGGACTCAGGGAGGGGCGTGGTGGGGAGTTTAGGGGGACCAAGAAGAAAATTCCACTTAGGGTCCCAGTTTGGCTAGGGGCAGCACTGTGTGTAAGATGGCTTTTTCAAGAGGGACCCCCCCCCCCATTATCTCTCTTATAGATGTCCATTAGCTCTTGTACAGGATTTACCCCCAACATAAGCCATCGCAAAGCACCTGGATGCTTGTCATTGCTGCTGAATTGTGCGTGACTCAAACAATCTGATTTTGCTGGGTAAAAATAGCACATTCACCTCCTTTTCAGTAAGTTAAACTTCTGTGGGTTTTTAAGTCGTCTTTAGAAAGCAAGTGCAGACTGAGATCTCTCAAAAAAAAAAATATATAAAAAAATATATAATAAAAAAAGCGGGAAATGTGATAAGCCAAAAAAATTTGTGCCATATACAGGGGGCCATTTTCATGGTAAAAGTTTATTTTCATATCAATGTTTTAAAAACCAGACAAGCAGAAGTGGATTGTGTAAATGGGCCAAATGCGCCATAAAAGAAAGGACTGAATAATTTGGATTCTGTCATAAAAATTGATGTTAAAGATTATTAAAAAGTACCCACGTTTTACGGTAGAATAGGCTACTGTTATAAATGTAACTGAAACTTTAGTGACGAACAAGTACATAAACACATTTAACTATGCAGTATAACAAAATATTTTGTCTTGATTGCATCTTGCAAAACATTGAAGTAGCTGATCAAAGCTAAAGAACAGCAACACCTCAAACACCTTCATCCGGGGTTCAGCCCCCGATGGAGCCGAATATTTATGGCACAACTATACCAAGTCAAGACTTGTTTTTAATAATCCAATTTATTTCCATGAAAGGACATGAAAATGTATATACAGCCACTCCTCTACTTATGAACTTTCAACTTATGAACTTTCAGACATACGAACAAAGAGGACCGTAAGTTCAAATTGTGTTCATTGGGCTCCTGTTTCCTGTCCGCAACATCAATTTTTTTTTTCTGCGCACCAATTCCAGGTAGTATGACTTCTGGCCGCTACTCCCACCCCGCAGCAGCGTAATGTACGTACTCCCAGCATCCTAGTTCTTTGTACTTGCGTATACCCTTAAAATGATGTTGAATAACGACTTACAAACATTTCAAGTTACGAACGACCGTTTGGAACATATCTCGTTCATAATTAGAGGAGCGTCTGTATAAGAATAAAGGACAGGAAGCCCCCATTGGACTGGATTTCTAGGGAACTTAAAGAATACAAATACAGATCTGGGAAAAATTAAGAGACCACAGCACAATTTTTTGTTTTACTCATTTCTTAGTTTATATAGCCTATATTATTCACAATGCAACTGCAGCAAACTGCAGTCTGTTTCTTCTCTGTTTCTCATTAATGAAGGGCTTCTTCCGTGCTTTATGGGTCTTCAGTCCTGCTTCTTGCAGCCTGATATGAACTGTCCTAGCAGTGCACTTCACACCTGCACTTAATGTTTCCTATTCTTTTGAAGGTCACTTGAGGTCACCCTCCGATTTATGAGGCACTGCCGGATAAGTTGACATCATCTCTAGCATTAGAAAGTCGCTTCCTCCCTCTACCTGACTGGTGTTGGTTGTTCCCAGTGTCTCCTGCTTCACCTTGTTCTTGTGTACTGCTGTCTTAGAAACTTTGAGCCAGGAAGCAGCCTGCAGCTCAGTGTAGCCTCTGCCAGCAGAACCAGGATTAAACCAGGATTTAAAAATGCAGATTTAACAATATAGAATGGTCTCTTAATGTTTTTCCAGAGCTGTACAGTATATGCACACACTTAAAGGGACAGACACCCAGTATCTGTCCCCTAAGGTGTCCTTGTGTAAGTCAGTTGTACACACTGGCCCAGCATAGGTAACAAAAATAGACTTTACTACCCCATTACTACTAAAATTCCAAAAGCATTCATTACCTGTCACTAGGCATGTGTGGGACAAATGAGATATCATTTCCCAGAAGGGTGTGGTAGTTTTATACCTGCCCTGTCCTCAGGATAGGGCTTTGATTTTTATCAGCT